CTGTAGTGTTTACCCTCTGGTTACAACTGATGCAGATTGCCTGGACATTGAAGGGGAATGTCAGCTACTTTGGCACATGCCTTTGCAGAAATAATTCCTTATTCATGAGCACTAGGTTTGCTTGGGAAGAAAATACAATGCAGGAATTTTGTCATTTGTAAAGAGTGAGATGCTGTGTGCAGCAGAGCAGTGCTCAAGGACAGGTTGAACAGAGCAATGAGTGACATGGTTTAGTGTGAGGTGTCCCTGCCCATGGCAGGGGGGTTATAGCTAGATGATCATAAGGTCCGTTCTAATCCAAACCATTCTATGATTCTATGAAACAGGCAGTTATTAGATTTTTGTGTTCACACTGGGGAAGTCTGATTATATGGCTACCAGAAGACATTCTGAGAAGCCCAATACTGATACAGTGACTTTGTCAGACTGTGTCTTGCAGGGCTTGAATTGCCTGTTTGGCATCATCTTGGTCCCTGAGGAAGTGATTAGGTATCTCTGCACTTGGGTATCCATGTGCTTCTTCTAGGAAAAACTGTTTGCTAAAGCTCAGTGCAGCACAAATGCTGGAACCAGGCTGGGTCCGGCACTGCACTCAGAGGACAAGGAAATGCAGCACAGACATCTGGAGAAGCTCTGCATGGAACCATGTCATGTTTCTCAGTGTTTGTTAGAGGTGACGCTACCAAAAAGAGCTATGCTTCTAAGTTTACCTTGAAGCAGCAGAAAAGTACTTATCACACAGTGATGTCTGAGCTTTTAACTCTTGTTCCTGCACTAGCTACCATTAATCTTCAATCTGGCTAAACTGCCTATAGATAGTTGTGAACTGTGTTTTTCTAGGGAAGATATGCTCAAATTATTATTTCCCTCTCTATTTCCTTACATCAATTAATCGCTCCTGTACCCTCACCTCCACACCCTATAAGTGTAGGAGGGTACAGATACAAAGCCTTATGTCCTCCTCCCATGTCCCAATTTTGCTTCCACCAGTACGCACTACAGCCCTTCTCCTCCTCCTCAACACACCATGTGGAGCACAGGAAGCTTGCCTAGTCCTTCAGAGGACAATAGAAGGTGAAAGAAAGCAGTAGATCACAGGCCAAGAGTAAATAGGTGGTTATTTGTCCTGGATTCAGCTGGGATAGAGTTAATTTTCTTCCTAGTAGCTGGTGCAGTGCTGTATTTTGGCTTCGGTCTGAGAACAGCACTGTCAAGGCACCAATGTTTCAATTTTTGCTAAGTTAATGCTTACCCTGATCAAGGACTTTTCAGTCTCATGCTCTGCCAGGGAAAGGGGGCACAAGAAGCCGTAAGGCAGCAGAGGCCACATGACCTGAACTAGGCAAAGGGGAATAGCGTATCACAACACATCATGTATAAAACTGTATATAAACATGTATATAAACTGGGGGTGTCACCTGAAGAGAATGATTGCTACTTGGGTAGGCTGGGTATCAGTCAGTAAGTGGTGAGTAATTGTATTGTGCATCACTTGTGTTTATTGTTTTTTTTAACTTTCCCTTGTTAGTTATTTCCATTATTGTTATTATTATTATTATTATTATATTGTACTTTACTTACTGGACTGTTCTGATCTCAACCCATGGGATTTATATTCTTTCGATTCTCCTCCTCATCCTGCCCGGGGAGGGGAGGGAAGGGGGAGAGTGACGGAGCAGCTGTGTGGTTCTAAGTTACTGGCTGGGTTTAAACCACAACATTATAGTTGTTGCCCACATTGCCCTGGTAGCCAACTAGTCAGCATCTGAATTAGCCCACAGGCTATTAGCCGCAGTTCTTCTTTAAACTTTCTAGAAGATTAATTAACAGTGTCATAACTGGGACTCAACAAAATCCATGGAGAAATACATTAAAAAAAAAAAAATCAGAGAAAACCACTCTGTTTCATTTTTTTTTATTTGGTTCTTTTTGTATGACTTTCCAGTCCTGATGCTACAATATTTGAATACAATTAGAAATCTTTGATAAGTTAAGTGAAAAAAGAGTTAAAGTACAATCTTCAGACAAGGAATTAAATTGTCTTCTTCCTGTGAAATGCACTATTTTGACTTTATGCTTAAGACCGAATCTACACACTTCCAGCTCTTCTAGGAATATATCCACTGATGTCTCATATGCCCTGCTGAGCAAGTTGCATTTGCTTTGATGATCTCAATTTGTGCATTCAAATTCATGTACTTTAAAATTGTGGTTTTGTTTTTTTTTTTTCTCAAAGAATGTGACAGCACTAATTTTTTTAGTGCATCTGGATGACCTGTTTCAAGATACATCTTTAATCAGCTTTATTTAGCACACTTTACTTTTGCATTTTGTATTTAGCCTCATTTGTATCGCCACATTACACTTTTCTTGTATGACAGAACTACTTCTGTGCTAAGGGCTGGAGAGCATTGACTATTTGAGAGGCACAGACCATGACGGGATTAATGACAGGTTTACACTACATAGGACACTCAGTGCAAGAATCAAAAAGTCCTCCATAACACCAGTGAGTGTTTTGTAATGTTCTTCTTTGTTCCCTCCTTCCTATTTCTTTCACTTCCTCTTGTAATGTCAGGTTGTATAGACCCATAGTAAGGCAGCAGGTGACTTGAGGTCACTGGCCTGACTCCTCCATTTGCACATCTATTTGGTAACAAAGTTCTCATCAGAGGCTTCCAACTTTTAAAATTAATTTCACTCTTAAGGTTGGGAAAGATCAGATAAACAAGAAAGGAAATAAATCCTTTGGTGATTTGAGGCTTGAGGAGTCTGTTGACATACAACTGACATCTTCAGATTAGTATAAGAAGATTATTTCTCCAGCATTGTGTGTCATGAAATTTTCTGATTTACTGGCATAATCTTTCTTATTACCTAGTGGAGTATTAACACGAGGGAGAGGGCAGTTAACCTTTGCATCTGTACTTTGGCAACCAGCCAATACATTAATAGGGATGATGAAAGCTGTGGAAAATTGCTTATTTCCTACCTTGTTCCAGAGGGGGGATTACGGGAGTGGAAACTCTGAAGAGACAGCAAAGCTGAGGCTGAAAAAAAAACTGCAAGAGGAAAAGTTTAGAAAAGACACTTGGGAAATTTTAAGTAGTGACCAAAACAAGAGCTGCATATACTTCTGTATCCAAGGGACAGTGTTCTAATCTGATGTTTTGACCATATTTGTGGTCAGGGAAAGGGGCCGTCACAAATAAGACTCTACAATTCAAGAGGAAAACAAAAGATGAAAGAGGATCCTAGAAAATGTTGCAATAGATTGGATCCCAGCTCAAACAGGTTTTTAGAGTAGTCAAGAAATAAAGCCCAGATATTGTACTGAGGATTAATTATTTTTCGTCTCTGTTCCAGTATTTCCTTTATTTTTAAGTAAATATTAATAGTGTCATGCAGGCTGGTAAATAATTTTTGTGGCCTTTGTCTCACAGCTGTCATGTACTCCTGATGTAATAAGTCCTGTCCCTTTCATGTGCCTATACCCCCAGGTAGCAGCTTTGCCAATCATCAAAAGGTACTCCAGCACTGTTCATCTTAACGGATTGTCTTCAAACCAGGACACTGGGGCTGATGCTTTCCTGGAACAAGACTAGAAGGACTGCCTGACTTTGTCTCCGTGTGCTCCTCTGAGCCTTTGGCAAGCTGATGGCTACTTTGATGAGTCTGGGATTATCCGTGCAGGGTATTGTTTGGGTTTACCCTCTATAGTTTCTGCTAAATTATTCAAAAGGAAAAAATGCCACATATACATTTCCATCATAGAGCAAATTTTACTTTAAGACGTACTTTTCATGAACTCATTCATAGGATCCCAGGGAATGTCCCCCTCCTGAAGTTCGTGGGTTTTTTTTGCAGATGGATGATCAGGGGGATCTTAGAGTACCTTCATGAATGGATCAATCTTAATGGATCCATCTTGAACCTTATTAGGTCATTTTGGAGGACTAATTTATGAAATCCTTCTCCAGAGTTTTACTGAGACTAATACAACTCATGGAAATACCTACAAACCCCCACCACTTCTCATTTACCACCCAAGATCAGAAGTTTTGAGGGTATTGCTTTGTTGCTTCATTTAATAGGGAATGGATCTGCATAAACAGATCAGTTCACTAGGCAACTGCCAGCTGACAGTGTTATGCTGCTAACACATTAAAGGCCACAAGCCTCTTCCTGCAAAGCTCCAGTCACGAAAGACGAGGTCTGATAAGTATGGGAAGTCAGGAACTTTCAGAGGCACTGAACAATAAATACCATTAATCTGGAGATTATCAAATACTTTAAACTGTTTTGAATCTCCATGTTTTTAAAGCTGCTTCTTAGAAACTTTAAATCAACTGATGTTTTCCATCAGTCTCCTGGTTCAGTATTTGGCAGATCCGAGGGTCTTCTTGTGTAACATGTATGGTGCAAGGTACACTCCTCCCATCTCCTGGCTCAGGTGTAGTGACAGATGGCTGTATCAAAGGTTCAAATCACTGAACCAAGAAATTTAACTCCCCTCAAAATCTCTCACCATGACTTACGTTTTCTAATTGGTTTTTCTCCACTAATACTCTTTTTTTTTTTTGTGTGTTTTTTTTTTTTTTCTTGTTCCTAAGGGTAAAACGTCGTCCAAGGAAAAATTGGTCTGACTGCCCTCTCTGGCAAAAATACACTGGAAATCTGGGTTTTCTCTGTCAAAGTTTCTTTGGATTATTCTACGATGAGTGAAGTGTAGGACTGAAATGAGCTGTCCTTCTATCATGGAAATCCTATTCCAATGCTGTGCTACTGCATGAAATGCATCAATAATTTACATACCATTTCCCCCTTTTTTCCTTCCTTAGGGAATGTTTATTGTCCCAGCCCCCCCCCTTTTTTTTTCTCACAAGTAAAAATACCAATTAAACACATTTTCTTAGATTCAATCTATAACAGTTTCATGCAAAGGGGAGGTAAAGGGAAAACATTAAGGCAGGCTGCTTTTTTATTTTGCTAGTGTTACACTTCAAAGACCAATAAAGATGCTATCTTATCGTATAGCAATTTTTAGATAACATCAAGGCAGTAATGCAGCTAGTGCCAACTGGCTGTGCTTTGGCACAGATCTCATTCAACAAATGGATTGAGGAGGAGCTGTACGATGTCCACTTTTTCGGGTGGTCTTTGTATATTGACAGAGTTTTCCAGAAAAGAGGACATGAAGGGAAAAGCAAAAGATTTCTATGGGCTGAACAAAACTGATGTCAAGATGTAGGGCTAGTTCACCCTGTGAGCACTGCAGTACACCTCAGGTACCAGGCATGAATCTATCCGGGTGAGTAAATGGCAAAAGTATACAGGTATGCAACTGCTGGTCCTCCTGCTCCTCCTGCGCAATGAACAGTTTTTCTCTCAGTTCCAATACATTTGATCCCGTTTTGCTGAGAATGATCAGTGGTATAACAAAAAAAAAAAAGAAATCCCAGCAGACTGAGCACTGGAAAGAGCACAATTCCATAAGGAATGTGGTTGTGCTATTTAAACCCCAGCCTGCAGTTCACAATGCTCTATTTTGAAATATTTTGTTTATAAACTCTGTGTTGTAATTACAGATTTTTTTTTTTTGGCATATTTTGAAGTTAGTTAAGCCCTATAAGCTAGAATGAAATCACATTTTCTTGTTTTATCTTGTTTGTTTATGTTCAACTTCTGTTAATTTCAAACTGTTCAAATGAACTAAGGTCTTTGACTGGAGTTGCGTATTTCTTTATAGTTTCAGAAAGAATAGTAAATTATTGCTCACAGGGTCAAAAACCCAAACAATCAACCCCCTATTAAAAGGTAATCTCTGTCTCTTTTTCTGCATAGTACTTCACACTGTGAGGATGCCTGTGTGCGTGACAGAGATTGAAGAATGGAGAAGTCCAGGAAAACATTTGCTGATATCATAAATGAGGCAATGGTGGCTGTTAACACAATGGATCGTGACAAACTGCTTTTTTCTTACAAGGGGATTCTCTACCCTGCTACTTTTTGCAGTGCTGAAGTATTCAGAGCCATGGACTTCCTTGAAGCCAGAAGCAATGATATAATTTTGGCGGGATACCCTAAATCTGGTGAATATAGGTTGCTTTCTTCATAAATAAAGTTATGTAATGACAAATAAGTAGGTTTGTACTAAATATATAAAATACATATTATATGGTATATAATAGTATATATTATACTAGATAACATCATTTAGAAATTTCACAAAATTTTGTAGAACTAATTTTGTTCTCAAAAAGCACAACAAAATTAGTTATGAAGATTTTATATATGGAATTGTTCAAATGACTAAGGCATTTGATTTGTTTTTCTATAGCATGTAAAAGCTTTTGTTATCTTTACCTTTTATAGTTATCAGTTAAATGCACAAATTAGAGAGAATTAAAATACAGTTCTCATACCAGAAGTAACTAGATCTCCTGATATTGCAGGAACTCTAACATTTATATTTGTAACGCTAATAGCTTTATATTTTTGTACAAAATGGTGTTTTTGGTACCTTCACATGCTGTGCTGTATATTCCTTAGTTTTGCTTGTTTGTTTGTTTCTTTGTTTTAGTTTTATAGAGGTCAAGAATATCTAATTTTTTTTAAACATTTCAAGTGATCACACTGATCTTTGGCTATTGGAAAATCAAGAGGAGATCTTTGCTAGGGTTGCAAGTTTACTGTACATCTTTGCTCCTTCTTTCTGAAAGCACCCTGTATCAGCCCACATCAGAGCTATAGGTTTGGATTAGATTGTTTCATACCCATTTTAATGTAGCTGTTTCTCTCCTCCATCAATTGGGTTCACGCTGTCTTCCAGTCACAGTTGACAGGATTGTAAGATTTTTGCTTATCTTTTTTTTTTTTTTAAGAAGTGTTATGCAACAGAACGCAGGTATTGAGACTGTAGTGAAAAGATGTAGGAACCCATGTCTAAAAGTCAGGAAATAATAAATTAAAGATGTTTTGAATAAAAATATAGTAAATGTGTATAGGAAATGTCAGTTTAGAGGATTTTTATTAGTTGGTAAAGAAAATGAGCACATACAGCATGATATTCAGATCTGGTTCTGCTCTTGTGTTCAAGTTCAGTGACCCACCACTCATCCCAAAATAATCCTATGCAGCATGCCAGAAAACATATATACTATACTAGGCATTGAGGTACAGGTTAGCCACTCCAAATCCCATTATATTTGTCACAATAAAAATGTATAACATTATTGCATGTTTTCCTCTTTGAATCATAGGTGATTCTTCTCCTGTATTAGTTGATTTACAACATACAAGTTAATTTACAATACACAAGTTAACTTGCAATATACTGAGCCATTTGAGTTGGAGAAATCTGCTCTTATAAATAATAAAGGTAAGAGACTGACAGGCGATTGTTCAGATAGTCAAATATGATTCTATCCCATGACAGGAGACCAAGCAACTCACCTGGTAGTACTATCTACTTCTTGGCTTTGCTGGCAAATCCATTTCTGTTTATTCTAAAGGTTTTACAAACAATTCTGTATTTTTCCCCTTTCAGGCACAAACTGGCTGGGTCAAGTCTTAGATGATCTGGTAGCCATATTTGAAAAGAAAGCGCAGAATAAAGAAAGCAGCGTGAATTATGAAGAAATGCAAGAATTCCCCTACCTTGAAATGGGAGGTACTGGGAAATACGAGGTGGGCACAGAATACATGTGTAAGTTGTCAAAATGTTGTGCTGCAAATGCTGAATATATGTTGTGTGAAATAGTCCAATTTGATAAGAACTCTCCCACTTCTCTGTATGTGGCATCTGGTCAGGATGAATTTCATCTGCATTGCCATATGCTGAAGTGATAAATGGACACTTCAGAGGGCTTTAGAGGAGTACATACTCATTCGATACACAACAAATGCAGAAATTCAGTGATGTGGCTTGTTTAGTATTTGAGAAGAGTTTAATGACATTTCAAGTATTGAAACAGTGGCTTTTGTCTCTTTTACTAATTCTTCTTCCTTACCCCTTCTCTCTGTCCTTGAGATCTTTCACGTTTCACATACCACCAGTTAGAGCTTGAATCTTACCTTTAGATTTGATCCCTTGTCTAACAGAACACATTAAATTAATTATCACTGAAGAGAATTAGCAATGGTTAATCTTTTTCCAAGCACCTATTCTCAGGCGTTATTGAAAGTTAGAGCTACTCAGAGCAGTCTACTGAGATCCCAGGATAACACTCACAAAAAATAAGTACTTCTATCAACCAATAACCTGATACATTCAACAAGACAATATTTTATCATAGGCTGATGAATACTTGTACTGAGTTGTCCACTTTCTTCCTTCCAATTTTTAAAGTAGATGCAAATTTCCCTTTTGAAGAGTTATGGTTAATCATCTCCTTCCTGAAAAATTTCCCAGTTCTATCTTCAGAAATAAAGCCAAGGTAAATGCTGATTTTAAAATCTTGAAAGCAAACACTCCAACAGATTCTTTTTAAAGATAATTTAGTATTTTTCTGTAAAATCACTCTTATTCTTAAGTGTTTAGCCTGGTTTAATTTCTGCCATTCATCTCACTTAATCTCAGTTCATCCTTATTGACACATTTGTGTCAGTCTTCACAAGCGAGATGGTGGAACAAAGCAGTAAAATGTATTTTGACACAATTTCTTATGGGATGCATCTTTTGGTGTTGTCACAAGTGAAGGCTTCAGCGTGTCAAGAATTTGTATTTTTGTGATTTTTCCCCACTACCTAAAGGACGAATGATGTTTGTATCGAGCAAAACATACATAGATTTTGCATAATTAATTTAATTAATCTGTAAAAGATATTTTAATAATTATATGCAATCATCTTCACAAGGTACTGAAGCAAAGTAAAATTCACTTTCTGAATTTAGAATGAAATTATTACTTTTGCAAGTAGTACACAAGATATTAGAAATTGCAATTATAAATTTATAAATTGTAAATTATTGTTTTCTTCATATTATAGTCTGTTATGTCTTTCTCTACAAATAAAATATTTTATTTTATTCTAGATATTGTTGCTGATCCACAATTCAAAAGATGTAGCTACAGCTTTTTACCATTTTTCCAACGGCATGTCTCATCTTCCCTCTTAATGAGACCTGGGATGATTTCTTCATAGCTTTCATGACAAAGAAAAGTACAGTATATTATTCTGGCTGTGTCAATTATTCAGTGCTTTGACTTTGTCTAAAAACCTTGCACTTTGTAAATCAACATCAGGATTTTAGGTTTACAGTGCAAAAGCAGATTAAAGACAGAAAGTTAGATATTTGAACTGAAGTTTACAGTGCCTGTCTTATGCCTGCAGATAAATCCTTATCAAAACTTCACTTCCACAAACTGCTTCAACTTGCACAATTTGATGTTTTTTTTGGAAGAAGCAGTTCCTCCTTATCTCTATCTTGTATCTCCTTTACCCCTCCTCTCCAACATCCATCATCTTGTGCACCCACAGACATCTAAACACCTTGCCAAGCTGGACCAGATGAATGATTTGTTTTAAGTTTTTTGCATTAAGTAAGAAAGAAAATAATCCCACTTGTTTAAAATTGCATGAATTCTTCAGTCTGGCATGTCACATGCCCTCTTTCTGCCACATGAAACAGAAGTTAAACAAGGTTTTAAACTGGATTAAAGGAGTCTACAAGATGGTTATAGCTCTTTAGTGGACTCACACTTGTATTAAAATACTAAGAAGTTTACCAAGACCTGTACATGTGTCAGAACAGCCTGGAGCAAAACCCCATTAATTCCCACAGAAGGGTGTAAACTCTGGTATAGACATTATTATTAATGACCATGGCTAAGTGATCAACTTAAGGAGTAAAAATTGGTTTATTTAATAAGGACCTTGTCTAATTTTCATTTATGCTTCATCTTAGGAATTTTTTGTTTTACTTAGTGCCCTGGGGATGCTACTTTGAGTACCTTTCCAAATGGAACAAATATGCTGATTATGAAAATGTTATAACTTATGAAGAGCTAAAAGAGATGAGGTTACCAATAGTTACAAATATTTTATGCTTCAAAGGGTGTTTGCTCCTAAACCAACTAACCATTATATTCATGTAGTGTATTCAAACTACTGTATGAAATAGATAGATTATTGCTTTAAGGGAAAGAAATGAAATTCAAACTTGAAAGTCTTTAAAAAATTTTGTTTGTGAAAATGATTCTTGTTTTCTCTGTAAATCACTGTAAATCAAAAGCACCAGTAATTTTCTGGGGGAGCTTTACATATTTAAGAGTGTAGATTTTGCTCAACTGTAAATCACACACAAACTTTTGTGATCTATAGGATGACAACCCACATCTCCTCTGAAATAATTATGGAGGAGAGAAACGCTATGTACTACTCCAGTCCTACTGAATTCTATGAATATTCTATATATGTAGCCAGCAGAGAGATGTAGGGAAGTGCAAACAACTCAGAAAGCAGTGTAATTTGTTCGACTGTCATGTAGTACGTTACAGTCCTCTTTTCAGAATCTGGTCCTGGGCGTGAAAAACATACCTGCTTTCTTTGGGGTTTCCCTGACTGAGAAAGAGCTTCAGAGTGTGGTAGAGAGGAGCAGCTTCCAGTCAATGAAGAAGAACTCACTGAAGACCCATTGGAAACCCAGTGATGTTTTCTTTTGCAAAGTTAGGAAGCTCCAAGAGGTCCAGAGGTAGAAATACCACGCTCACAGGAGCTTGGGCCACCCATCATTTGATTCTTTTTTGCACACATATTAGCATTACAGATGAATATCAAACAGGTTATCACTGTTATGCTTGAGAAACACTATTGAGGAAGAGGCCCAGCAAGATTCTGGCAGCAGGTAGCTTTCAGAGGCCCAAAAATGACTGTCAGGAAGGAGGAACTTTCTGTCATGTGTCTGAACTCCTCTCCATCTCTGTTCCAAGACCACTAATTCTTCAGCCATTAGACGCTTACCTGAGCAGGAAAAACTGAGTGAAACTCAGTCTGAGTGGCAGGATAACACTTTTTAGAAGAGTGTAGGATCTTCTGAAACTCCTGAAAGGGCCACAACCAAGCCTCTGTTCATACTCACAGTTAAGAAGTGAGCCAAGCATGCAATAATCATGTATACAGAGAAGGGGAAACAAAAGAGAACTACTTCTGTGGTGTGATTTGGGAGACACTGACATGAGAGGGCCAATCTAGCTATCAGAATCTATTTCTGCATTTTACGTTAAAGAAATCACTGAATAAAATCTCAACTTGCCAAGGGAGCAAAACTCCAGCTCTGCCTCCTGCCACATGATTCTTAATCAAGCCTTCATGATCTTCCACCTTGTCAGTCATAATTGACTGGAGTAGAGAGTTGCAGGGAGACAGGATTTTAGGCTGTTTTTTTTTGAACGGGGTCATCTGAAGAGAAGAACATTCTTTTGCATTATAGCAGTTTCACAGATCTGTAGCTCAACTGACATCACAAAATTATACTGGTGCAAAAATGAGTGAAGCTTTATCTTGACAAACTGATCAACTCCATTTAGTGTACAATGGAAAAAGAATGACAGGTCTGTAGAACAAAAAATAATACAATTTCTTAATACAGTTTCTTTGCCTCTTTGAAGGTGGTGTAAATGAAAGAATCTTTTTCAGTGAAGATCAGAATAAGAAAATGGACAAAACATTTGAAGGACATATAAAGGGAACTAAACTGGGAACAAAGTTAAAGTATGAAGTGTACTGTAAAGTCTGAAAATTGATGAAATGTGGCAAGAGCTTCCCAATGCACTCTCAGATCATCTGATTGCCATATACTAGAAAACTAGATTAAATGTTTCAAGCACCTTAGAATTACTGTAGTAGTCACATTGCAGCAGCCTTTACAGTGATAGTGATGAATAGTGGGCTTTTGTTTTAAAGGTGAGGTCTTTTGCTTACTTTGGCTACACTCATATGTTGAAGAAGATGACAACTAACTATATTCAAATAAACTTAACAGCCATATTTCAGTAGCTGTCACTCGAAAGGAAATGCTCCTTTTCTCTTTCTAGCCAAACCCAGTTTTTCTGGGTTACTTACAGTTATTTAATACTTAGAATTTTTAAAAGAATGTTTCAAATCAGGCAATACCTTCACAGAAAAGGTCACTAGTTAAAATATGGCTTTGACAAAACCTTTATTAATGGCAAAGGATATCTTCCTTGTGACTTCAGCAAGAACTAGTGGGAGGAGAATGAAGGAGAAGAGGAATCAACCTTCTTAGGGACTTTAATGTCTCTGAATGCAAAATTTCAAGATGGATTTCAGAGTATGTGCTGGTGTTAACATGCAAAATCCACTCGGAGACACCGCTTTTATAGAACCATAGAACAATGCAGGTTAGAAGGGACTTTGAACGATCATCTGATCCAACCTTCAATGGGAAAGGGGACTAGATGAGATTATTGCATTTTGAAAACCTCCCGTGATGATGACTTTACCACATTCCTGGGACAGAATTTATTTCTTATATCAAGATGAAACCTCTCCAGGTGCATGACATGTATCCACTGCTCTTTATCTACTCCATGTGGTTCCTTGTGAATAGAGAGCTTCTGTCTTCTTTGTAGATGCCTGTTAAGTATTAGAATACTCTAATGAGGCTTATCATCTTCAGGGCCCTCCTGTGGACCCCCTCCAGACTGTCTGTGTTTTTCCTGAACTGTGGTTACCAGAACTGGTAAACAGTACTCCAAGTGTGACCTGAGAAGTGCAGAGTTATAGAATCATAGAATCATTTAGATGGGAAAAAACCTTTGAGATCATGAAGAAAAACAGTTAGCCTAGCACTGCCAGGTCTACCACTAAACCATGTCCCTAACCACTGCACAGCTTTTTAATACCTCCAGGGATGATGCCACAACCACTTCCCTGGGCAGCCTGTGCTAGTGCTTGACAACCCTTCTGGTGAAGAAATGCTTCCTAATATACAATCTAGAACCCTTGGTGCAACTTGAGACCATTTCCTCTTGTCTTATTGCTTGTTGCATGGAAGAAGAGACAGACACCCACTTTGTGACAACCTCCTTTCAGGTAGTTGTAGAGAGTGATAAGGTTTCTCCAGAGCATCTGTTTCTCCAGGCTAAACAAGCTCAGTTCCCTCAGTTGCTCCTTGTAAGATTTGTGCTCCAGGCCCTTCACCAGCTTTGTTGTCCTTCTCTGGACCCACTCCAGCACCTCGATGTCTTTCTTGTAGTGACAAGCCCAAAAACGAAACACAGTATTCAAGGTGCAGTGTTACCAGTTCCAAGTACAGGGGGATGATCACTTACCTTGTCCTTCTGGCCACATTATATATGATACAAGCCAGATGCTCTTGGCCTTCTTGGCCACCTCGACACAAGCTGGCTCATATTCAGGCAGCTGTTGACCCAGGTCCTTTTCCTCTGAGCAGATTTCCAGCCACTCTTCCCCAAGCCTGTACTGTTAGATGGGGTTGTTGTGACTCAGGGGCAGGACCTCTTACTGAGCTGTGTTGAATATCATATGGTTGTCCTCATCCTGTTGATCCCACCTGTCCAAATCTCTATGTAGAGCCTTCCCTCCAGCAGATCAACACTTTTACCCAAATTGGTGTCATTTGCAAAGTTACTGAGGGTGAACTTGACCTCCCCATCCAGATCATTGATAAAGATATTAAAGGGAACTGGCCCCAGCACTGAGCCCTGGGGAACATCACTTGTGACTGGCTATCAACTGGATTTAACTCCACTCACCACCACCCTTTGGGCTCAGCCATCCAGCCAGTCTTACCCAGCAAACAGTACATGCATCCAGGCCACGAGCAGCCAGTTTCTCCAGAAGAATGCTGTGGGAAATGGTGCCAAAGGCTTTATCAAAGTCTATGTAGACAGCATCCACAGACTTTCCCTCATCCACTAGGCAGACTACCTTATCGTAGAAGATCAGGTTAGTCGAGAAGGACTTGGCTTTCATAAACCCATGATGACTAGACCTACTTGCCTGGTTGTCCTGTATGTGCCACTTGATGTCACTTGAGCTGATCTGTTCCATAACCTTCCCCAGCACAGAGGTCAGACTGACAGCCCTGTAGCTCCCCACATCCTCCTTCTAGCCCTTCTGTACATGGGCATTACACTTGCTAACTTCCAGTCAAGTGGGACCTCACCACTTAACCAGGACTGCTGATGCACGATTGAAAGTGGCTTAGTGAGCACTTTTGCCAGCTCCTCCAGCCTGCTTGGGTGGATTCTATCTGGTGGTGCAGCAGGTCACTAGCCATTCCCCATTGGATTACAGGAGCTCCATTCTGCTCCTTGTCCCTGTCTTCCACCTCAGGGGGCTGTGTACCCAAAGAAAACCTGGTCTTACTATTACAGACTGAGGCAAAGGAAGCATTAAATACCTCATCCTTATCCTTTGTCACTGTTTTCCCCTGCATTCAGTAAAGGATGGAGATTCTCCTTAGCCCTCCTTTTGTTGCTAATGTATTCATAGAAACATTTTTTATTGTCTTTTACTGCAGTAGCAGGATTAAATTCCAGCTGGGCTTTATCCTTCTGATTTTCTTCCTGCATAATCTCACTACAACCTTGTAGTCCTCCTGAGTTGCCTGCCCCTTCTTCCAAAGGCCATAAAATCTCCTTTTTTTCCTGAGTTCCAGCCAAAGCTTTCTGTTCAGCACATGGGGACAGCTTGCTTCTATGCCTTTAAGATTTTCTTCTTGAAGAATGTCCAGCCTTCCTGGACTCTTGCCCTTCAGGACTGCCTCCCCAGGAACTCAGTCAACAAGGCTTTTAAACAGGTCAAAGTCTGCGCTCTGAAAGCCTAGGGTGGCGATTCTGTTGAGCTGCCTCCTTACTTCTCCAAGAATCCCAGGAATCAAATACTCTATTATTGTGTGTAACTATGAATAATTCTCTCTTTTTATCATAAAAGTCTCAGATAATTTTCTTTTTAATATCATATAAATGTGTACTTGTTCCACTAAAGGCCATGTTTCTGCCTGTATAAAGGTTAGTCAAAAGCAAAATCATGAATTAATGTCTTTTTCTTGTGTTTGAAGAGACTTCTTAATCTATACTGCTTGCTATTTGCTACTTCTAAGCACTGCTTTTATGTTTTCTATGCTCCAGCCATAAAACAGGAAAAGGAAATGTAGTGAATACAGAAGGTGTTCCCCACCATTAATGCCAGCAAAGTGCTCTTACCACAAAACTATACTTATTGTTCCTTGCATTCATTCTTCATTTAAGTAAGTGTGCACCTATAGTTAAGCTTTACCTTAAATTAATACTTAAACACTGAAAGAAATTACTTTCCATAACTGGAAATTCTCTGAAATTGATGGCGCCAAAATTTACTGAAACTGGCTTTATTGGAAAATGGGCTTGTCAACAGTAATGGTGTGAGATATTACTATATTTGGGTATTTTGTACTTGCATTGTTATTTGCCCCTGAGGACATCATAGCATTTTAGACCTGTCCAGAGACAAATGGCACTTCAGTCACCTGTTCTGGAAAATAGCAATATAAGACTCTTTAAGTATAGTTGAATTACAAATAGGAAAAAATCAGGCCCAATTTATAGATCCCTCACCTAAGCAGATAAGAAGTAAAACCAGAAGATACACTAGGAAAGAATAAAATATTCAATGACTTTTTGCTTCATTCTTCTAAAGCTGGTTAATTCTGCCTGGACATGTAGACATGCAGAGTTTTGCATAGAAATAATACTTAAAATATTCAGAAAAAAGTCAGTGGCTTCAAAAGCAGATTATGTGAAAGTACTGACACAAGCCATCTTTGAACAACTAGAAATTATCTGGTACCCAGAAAGGTACCAAATGCATGGAGGAGGAGATACATAAATTTAAAAGTAAAGAATAAATTAAAAAAATTGAGAATAAAGAATCAAAATAAAGCAGTCATATTAACTTGATACCTGGACATTTACTAGCAAAACCAATTAAGTAACTAACCAAGAAATAAGTATAAACTATGTCAAAGCTGTTTGCATTCTTTCTTTAAAAGAAAACTTATCTCTTGAATAAGCCATAGACAGAAGATACAATAGATGACAGCATCAGAAAGGCTCTGAAATTATATGACAACATATAATCTAGATCAACAAATTTATGGCTTCATATGTGGAAGTGGTAATTTATGAATGTGTTTTTTAATGAAATTAATGTACTGAAAGTAGATTTCTGTTCCTAGAAACTCATGCAACAATGATAAAAGACACCTAGAAGCAAGGTCATCAGCAGCAATACTTTCAGGAATATCTACTTCTTTACATGGCTATTGTGAACTTGGTTTCAATAGTGTGCTCATGATCAGACTGCGTATACTGGATGACAACAAAATTGGGAGGACAATTAAACCAATATCTGTTAGTGGTGAACATGGAGTTCGGTAAAAGTGTAAAACACTACATGTAGAAAAGAGAAACCTGAGGCACAAGTACTTAATGGGTGAAAACCAATCAAGCAGCAGCTGGCTGCAGCAAAGACCTTATGTCCCTATTGTTAGTCTCCAGTCCTGTAATTTCAAAAGGAGTCAACAGAGTACAGAATTAATCAGTGACTTGTACTTTCATTCCTGAGTAAACACCCTACCTGCTTTGCTAATATGTTGCATAAATGTTTTCTGCATTGGGAAAGCAGCCTATCTGTTTCTTTGGAAAGAGTTCCACAAGGAAACAAACATGAACAGAAATAGGGGGAGAGTCATTGAAATAGTGGACAACTCTTCTTCACAGAGTGAAAAGGTTCCCCCAGAAAGCATACTGTTTGCTATAGAGGTATTCTACACTTCTACACTTACTAGTTCAGAAACTTTGGAAGCTCTGAAATCTTTTGAAATCCGGAGAGACAACATGATTCTAGGAGGCTATCCTAAAACCGGTGAGTGTTGTTCTCTTGATAAGTAGTAAAGTACAAAATGCTGAAATCCAGAAGATTGTGTCATCATTTTACACTGCAGTAACACATAGAAGTAAAATACAAATAAACAAACAAACCCAACACTACAGTGGGAAGACACTGCAAGAGATTTCCAGTGGGTGGTGAATTTCCACCTCAAAGTTTTAAAACTTTTCTGGACAAAACCTTGAGATGCAAAACCTGACTTAGAAGGTTAGGTCTTCCCCCTGCTTTGAGAAAGATCATCTAGTTCCAACCCCAGGTTTTCCTTGTGCCTTAGCATGGTTTCCAGGAGAATCTGTTCCAAGATTTTGCCAGGCACAGAGGTGAGACTGACTGGTCTGTAGTTTCCCAGGTTTTTCATTTTCCCCTTCTTAAAAGTGGGGGTTATATTTCCCTTTTTCCAGTCGTCGGGAACTTCACCTGACTGCCATGATTTTTCAAATACAATGGACAGTGTCTTAGCAACTTCATTCGCCAGCTCCTTCAGGACTCACGGTTGGATTTCACCAGGTCCCATGGACTTGTGCACATTCAGATTCTTAAGATGATCTCCAACCTGATCCCTTCCTACAGTGGGCTTAAGGTCGTCTTTCTTAGAGTCCCTGCCTCTGCCTTCCAAGATTTGGATGGTGTGGTCAGAGCATTTGCCAGTGAAGACTGAAGCAAAGAAGTTGTTGAGAACCTCAGCCTTCTCCAAATCCAGGGTAGCTAACTCTCCATTAGCTTCTGGGGAGGGCCCACAATATTCCTAGTCTGTCTTTTGTTTGCAATATACCTATAGAAGTCCTTCCTGTTAACTTTGACATCCTTAGACAGACTTAATTCTAATTGGGCCTTAGCTTTACTGACTCGATCCCTAGCTTGCTGGACAATATTCCTGTATTCTTCCCAGGCCACCTGTCTTCACTTCACCTAAGCTTCCTTTTTCTGTCTGAAAATGAGGAATTACTGATCCTTATCCCTTTGTGTGCAGTCTGTAGAGCTGTGCACAGGCAAATATGGTTTCAAGTTACAATGATCCACCTCATAACCACTGGACCCAGTGGCTTTTATCAGTAAGACGTTTTTCAGGATGCCCTGTCCTGAAGCCTGTCTTGTGTGAAATGGTTCTCTGTGGCAGAGGCTGACAGAAGCCTACACCACCAGTGCATCCCTGTGGGTTTTCCAAGGGATAAGATACTTCTTTGGGCTCACCTTTTTTTATTACCCATAATTCCTGAAAAGGCACATGTCACTGAATAAGCTACTTTTGTCCTATTACATTTCTTCCCACTTGCTTTAAAGAGAATGAACAAACTGCCTTCAGGAAGAATTATACAAATCCATCTGCCACCTCATCTCCTTCCACCATCCATGCTCCAAAGCAAGGCTAAGGTGAGTCTTCTCATTGCATTGCACTGCAAAGGCTTTTTCACTCCAAATTAGCTTTCCTGTGTCTGAGTGAAATGTGTTTTCTGCACTTTCACCTGGGCTGGTCAATGCATAGGCACATTTCCAAAGTTGAAGAGGCAGAGTGCTTGTGGTGAGGCTCTCATCCTCTCTCAGTAGCAGCTTTGCTAACATAAGAGGTGGGCTGAGTGTCACTGTCCCTTCTGATCTCTGTCAGAAAGATGCTTACAGGTTTTCATCAGAAAATGCAGCAAGGGCAAGCAGTTATTCTCTTTGCTTCAACTTGCCTCCAAGATGACAGTACCTGTGGAAAGCTCATTACAGGCTGGGGTTATCGTCTTTAATGGGAATTGCTGCAGAAAGAAGCAAGCCTGATCATGGCTCTCCTGTTCAGCAGCCCATGAGCCCATTTCTCAGAAATGGAACTATCTCAGAAGTATGTCTCAAGGGCATCACTAAAAAGCTTCTTGCTTTCAGCGTGAAGTTCACATTAGCAGCAAGTGGACTGTGAATGCTTTGATTTCTTACTCAAGAAAAGGAATTAGACTAGCATTGTATGGTCTGGTGTGTGTTAGGGGACAAGAAAGTTTGCAGACAACACCAAGTTGGGCAGAAGTGTTGATCTGCTAGAGGGTAGGAAGGCTGTACAGAGGGATCTGGAGAGGCTGCATCAATGGGCTGAGCCCAACTGTATGAGTTTCAACGAGGCCCAGTGCCGGGTCCTACACATGGGTCACCACAACTCCACAACAGGCTTGGGGAAGAGTGCCTGGAAAGACGCCCAGAAGAAAAGGTCCTGGGAATGCTGGTCAACAGCTGCCTGAATATGAGCCAGCTTGTGTCGAGGTGGCCACGAAGGCCAAGAGCATCCTGGCTTGTAACAGAAATAGTGTTGCCAGAAGGATTAGGGATGTGATTGTCCTGTACTCAGCACTGGTGACATCGCACCTCGAATTCTATATTCAGTTTTGGACCCCTCACTACAAGAAAGACATTGAGGTGCTGGAGCGGGTCCAGAGAAGGACAACAAAGCTGGTAAAGGGCCTGGAGCAAAAGCTTTACGAGGGTCAACTGAGGGATCTGGGATTGTTTAGCCTGTAGAAAAGGAGGCTCAGGGGAGATCTTACAGCTCTCTACAGCTACTTGAAAGGAGGATGGAGTGAGTTGGGTGTCAGTTTCTTTTCTCATGTAACAAGCAATAAGACAAGAAGAAATGGCCTCAAGTTGCACTGGGGGTTCTAGATTAGATTTTAGGATGCATTTCTTCACCAGAAGGTTTGTCAAGCACTAGCACAGGCTGCCAGGGAAGTGGTTGTGTCACCATCCCTGGAGGTATTTAAAAGTTGTGTAGAAGTGGTGGTTAGGGGCATGGTTTAGTGGTAGACTTGACAGTGCTAGACTTGGGATTGGACTTGATGATCTCAAAGGGTTTTTCAAATCTAAACAATTCTATGATTCTTTGATTCTGTGTGATGTGTTGAAAAGATGACATTTTTGTCAGTCACCAAATCATAACCATATTATGTACTTTCTTCCTCTAGATTCTTGCGTTACTTCGGAACCCCAAAGACACAGATGTCTCCTATTACTGCTTCTACAACAACATCCTAGTGATGCTGTCCTTTATCTCCTGGGATGAGTACTTTGCAGCCTTCATGAAGGGAAAATATAATTTGTCCTGCATCCTCTGGCACTCCTCCTTACATGAGGGGCCTACACAGGACACTATGCGTGACAATCTTACTCCAACATACCTTTCAAGGCATTCTGAGGACCGGCAGAAAGGCCCATGTTATGGCAGAATCAGGGAGTAACAGAGAATCAGAGTTTCTTTTGTCTCTAATTCAGAATGGGAAGATACCACGAGAAAGCTTTAGCCTGAGCTCCATTCCCACACCAAAGCTTGTGGTTCGGTGCTACCTAGTGGTCAGAGCTGGGGGATCCTGTACTGACCTCAGCCAAAGAACAGACATGTTGAGCTCGTCACTTCATCATCCTGATGTCACACTTAGAGAGCTGTCTAGGCTGACTCCTCTGATTCGATAAGGGCCTGTTTTGAGGAATACTCTACACAGCTTTGTCCCTTTGTCTGCAGTGACCTGAGGATCCTATTTTGACCATTTAGTGGAACGGAACAAATACATTGACCACGAGAGGATCATGGTGATAAGCTGCAAGGAACTCAAAGAAGTGCAGCATCTCACCCAGCTCTTCCTTGATGAGTGCACTGTGCACCCCTCCTGATACATATGACTGTAGGGAAAAAGAGACGCTTGGATCAATCCTGTCTGCCCCTTCAGACTTTCTGAGTTACTTGTTTATATCTAGGGGAGGCCCATGGGGGTTAGGAGGAGGATAGACTTGCCCCTTTATGGAAGGAGTCATATCTGGAACAGGCACAGTTGCTTTTGGGAGAAATGAAAAGACCTTGAAACTGAGGCCACCATGTTTGGGTTCCCTCTCTGACAGAGCTCCTAGAATCCCTTGGTGACAGTGTGGGAGACAACCTCCTCTGCTAGGCTTCCCGCCTGCTGCTGGTTTCATGCCACAGCCACAGGGTCAAGTCTGGGGATATCCTCTTCTAGAAGGGTAGGTCTCTGCAAATGGAGACTTAACCTTTTAAAGTAGAACCACAGGAAGAATTCTCAATAGGTTTCCTCACTTAGCCATGGTCGCTGGGCTGTCTAGGAAGGAAAGGTGTGGGTGCATTCTCCCCTGTTGCATCCTGTATAAAAAGCTCCTGCAATTGGTGGGATTTGGAGACTGTGTGAAAATGTGCCACAGTGCCAGGCTTAAGGTCTTCAGCCATTGCTTCCATGTTGCTCTATTTCCCTGTGGCACTCCTATTTAGTTAGGCAAGTGAGGTGTGAAAGTGGAGCAAACACTGGCGTAGGTTACGCTAACAATTATACATCAGATCTGCTTAGGCTGGATGGTTATTCTTTACAGCGAGGTTGTGGTGTGGCTGCTGCCTGGTGGTAAAATGATGAGGCTGATCCTGGATCATAGTTCCAGGCTGTATGTATCACTTCATGAACTTCTCCTTTGGGAAGAGGTGTGCTAATGGGGCAAGTGGCTCTTGAAGCTCTAGGAAATACATTGCTGACTACTGAGCTGGCCTCACAGGCACCTTCTTGTTATGTACTCTATGACAGCTAACGAACAGTCTTGATATGGTTAACTCTTACTTGATGTGTTAGTGGTGGTGCCAGAGATGGTCAGACCTGGAGCCAGGGTCAGTGTTCTGGCAGCCCAGCTTCTCCGCATAGCATCGAGAGTCTTGAGTTTCTTACTACTGTGGGCACGGGCTTGCTTTAATCCCTTTTCTTCACCACTCCTTGAAGGAAGACTCTACCATCTACCACACAACCCTAAATAGCTTCCCCCTTCAGAGGGAGGCATTCATGAATGAGATTTTCCCTGTGACAAAACCATGTTCCCATCTCTTCCGTGTATAAAACCTTCATGAAAACACTTTGCAAACCCCCTATAGGAAGGGAAGGCATGAGGCAGCCCACCAGCAATGTTCCCTGAGGCCTGCCTGCAGTTTTTACATCTATGCTATGTTGCCTCTCCCAAGCAATCAGACCTCTCTGAGGCATAGATTAGATCCTTCCCGCCTCATGTGAGCAATGATTCTGCCCCATTGCTGCCTAGGTATTATTTTCTCTTAGGAGTGACTGCCCTCAGTTTTCAGTACTTCTTGTTGTACACAGGGGTTGTTGGAAACTGGAGAGACCTCTTCTCTAAAGCTCAGAATGAAGAAATGGACCAAAAAATCTGAAGATTCCTTAGGGAGGAGCAAAGCTGGCAGCAAGGTTGAAATATGATGTGTACTGCAAGGCTTGAAAATGAGCAGATGAGATGCATGACAGCAAGTCATGATCCAAAGATGACAGCAAGTCATGATCCAAAGATGATTCTCCAAAGGTGGACTGTCCCCATGTTTCCTTTCCATGAGAAAAGAGAGAAACCCCTCAGAGATCTACCTGGAATCTCCAAGTATTTGGGCTGTAATTCTTAAGGATGTGCTTTGCTTGATGCAACCAAAAAAATGTGTGAATGCCTCAAGTGACTGCCTGGCACCCTTCCAGGAGGGACACATTACACACGCATCATGGCACCAGTCTGGTGGTGTCCCTGTGCTGCTTCAGATGGTGAATGAGGCTCCTGAGGTGCTCAACGGTGAAGCAGAGGGACCAACACAGGGCTCCTTCTCCTGGCACACAATGGGCTTGACACAGTTTCATTGTGGGTCTGAGTCCCCAGAATGTCTGTGTACTGGGTTTAGATCTACCATGGCTACCCTGGTATTGACATTGTGCAGCGAGGTCAGAGAGGCTTTTGACATGTTGGCAAACTCCTTCCTTTGATGCAGGGTGGAACTTCTCAATCTCTTACTGCCATGAACTCTTAAGTAATGAACAGCTATATGTTTTCTGGAGTGTTTGCTCCCATTGGCCTCCCTGGGAACAGTTAGGTAAGTGGCAAATGGGAAAAACTACTACTTCTGAATGGAAGGATCAGGGGAAAGATGCCCCTTGATGACCCTGTTGCTGAACTATTAAAGCTGCATCCATTTATGCTACCTAGGTATGATTTCCCCAGCCCTCTTGCTGGTGTAGATGTTCTTGCTGCCGGAACGTGCTGCATGACCTCTTGTCACAACCACTCTTGAAATACAGAAAAGATAAGGAAGTGCTGAGTCTGTCTGCAAAGGGAATTCAGTTCTTTGGAAGAGCGGTTCCTCTGCCATCTTCCCAGACAGATATATTTGCAGGACTCTCACACCTGACTAAGATTAAAATTCAACAACCTGCAATCAAAAGTGTAATTAACAAAGCTGAGAAACCGGGAGCCCTGAAGGGCTCCCCTCACCCTGCCCATGGCCCAAGACCCCATGTTAGTCCCTGGGGCCATCAGCCCCTGCCTCAGCAATGCTGAAGCAGGTTGGTCACCAGCTCCTCACAGCCTGCCTTGTCTGGCCACAGGCCCTGCCAAGTTGGATCCATGCGTGAGCACATGTTATAGCCCATCCTCAGCCCATCACCTTCCCTGTGGGGGTGTCTGACACATAGGGCTGGGGCTATGCCAGTGTCCCTGGCTGCCCTGCTGCTGGCTGGGGTGGTGGGACAGGCCCTGGCTTCCAGGCCCTGCCTCATATCTCCCTGACATGAGTAATAAGGGATGTTGCAGATTTGGATCTCATGGGCCACTCACAGCCTGCTTCTCAGTCAGTGTTTCTGAGCTTCTGTGCAAGAGCTGCCCACGTGAAATTGCTCTGCTTGAAGAAAGGTGTGTTTGTTTGAACCTATTAATTCCCGGAAGAGCAGGACTTCGTCTAACTCTGGGCTTCCATGGATGAAAAGAGACAAGCCACCATGCCCCATAACATTTTAATCTATTCCTCAATACACGCCCTTTACTACTTCCTACATGGTGATATCAAAAGCAAGGAGTTGACTGGGGAACATGCCTGACCAGAAATGGGGAAACAGTCACTGAAATATTCAAAAGGCTTTTACTAAGGTAAAAAGATGGCATCTCCAGATTTTATTTTCTTTTTCCTGCAAGGCATTTTGTAGCCTAAGGGCTCTTAGCCCAGACACTTTGGAAGCTCTGAAATCCTTTGAAACTAGGAGTGATGATGTGAGTCTCACCATCTTTCCTAAAACTGCTGAGGCTTTCTTCCTTGATGAATAAGCCTCTGCTGCAGTTCAGATGTGTGTGACTGCACGTAACACAGCAATAATGGCCATGACAGGTTAATGATGACTTCAGCCTGATGTGGAGGCACAGCAGCAGGGGCTGTTCCATGGAGGAGGGCAGGAGGACTGGTGTTTCCATAGACTTCCTCCACAGCAGGACATGTTATTCCTGGGTGCTGGGTGGAGGTACAGGCCCACCTGCCACCCAAATTCATGGACCTTTTGCCCTTCTCTTCCCATGCATTTTAATCCAGAATTTGGAATAACTGGATGCCTTCACATTTTCTCCTAACCACTTAGAGAAATATCTTGACAGATCACTTGAGGAAAAAAAAGGAAGAGGTGATGTTTCATCTGCATTACATCTTCGTGCTCAACTTGCCTTTATTTTCTTTTCTCAGAAAGGAAAGGTATTAAATTGTGAGGTCTCATATAAATATCAAAAGTATTTAAGATATCATTTGATTTTCACACTGTAACATCTCAAAATTCCAGACATTCTTAAAAGAATTGTGTTAGAAAATGCTTTATACAACTTATTTTCAATGCAATGTGGCCAAGAATTAACCCACTTAATTAGATGGTGTGGTGGTGAATGATGAGTAAACTGAGAGAGACGCAGCCTAACTTTCAGCTTGACAGCAGGAAAGGATTTCTGGCGTATAAAACATTTCTTACAGAAATTATAGCAATATGACTTGGAGAGATGAACACAGACTCTCCTGCTGGTTAAAAGGCTGAAACTGGATTTGGACGTTAGGAGGTAATGTAGTGATTGCACAGTTACACCTCTGAAAAGCAGTAAAAATCTTGAATATGACCTAAATTACTTTAAGCTGTGAAGACTGTTCCTTCTGACTGGCTCCTCCAATTTTTCTTACTTTCTTTTCAGAAACTGATGAATTACATTCCCTTTTGATTAAGTGGTCATTGCAGGCTGGTTTACATTTGTTTCTATAGATATACTCATCAATCTTTTCTGACTTGTGATATCTTATAATTTCCCAGCTGATGTTACCCAACCCTACTTAAAGGATTTCCTTCTCCAGACTCTCAGTCTATGTATGCTTATGGTTGTACAGGCTGGAAATATTGGCTATAATAAAACTGCCCCTTCCCAAGACACACAACTCTTAGTATTTTTTCTTGGGGTATTTTTTTCTTTTAGCTTTATCATTAGTCCAATGAACTTGATATTTCTAGTAAAATATTTATTTGTATTTTTTTACAATCCCGTTAGAGAATTAAAAATTTCTGTTCCAGAAGAACCATATCAACCTCATGTTCTGCCCCACTCGTGCTTTTTCAAAGCAAGGCTAAGCTGAATCTTCCTCTTTATTCAACCTGGAAGTGCTGTCATGGATAGCATTTTCATACAGATTAGTTTTTCATTTTCTGCACAAGAAGTCTCTTCTAAGATTGTATGTAGGCTTCAGTTATATACCTCTGAATGTGAAGTGCTGTTTACAGAGACTGTGGACACATTTTCTCTTGCAGCTGCAGCTATAATGGCTCCATAGCTTATTGCTCCCTTCAACTTATCCCTGCCAAAGACAACTGCTCCCTCAAATTTCCTTGGGGAGCTGCTCCCTGACCTCTTTCAACCCCAATAATCCAAACTAGGATCTCTTTAAACTAACTTTGAAAAGACCTTGAGTTGTCCAAAGCTTAGAGCTGTCTACCTGGATATACCATGTCCCTTTAGAGTGGACACACCATAATCACCCAGAAGGCTGTAAACTCCTAAAGGTCACATTTAAGTTTAGCTAAACAAGGAAAATCAACATTTAAAATATGAAAACTCAGTTTCTTCTAAGTGAGAACAAAATATAACAGACCTTTTAAGCCATTCTGCTTTCTCCTCATAGCTTTTTGTCTCAGTTCAACAACATTTAATGGCATTTTGGGCTGCAGCAGGCTCCAGACAGGCTGAATATTCCTGAGAAATTTGAGCTAGTGGCTGCCCCAAAGGCTAGGCTTACTTCCCTCTTCTGACTGTAGTTGTCTGCTCCTTCTTTTGCATGAGCTCTTGTGTTTGTCTGACATCCCCAGCTTTTTGAAGCGGCATGAAACACTCAGTTTTGGTGGCAGCAAGCTGTCAGATTGTCCCAGCTATCTTGCGCAAACCTCACCCCTGGTGCCTCTGGGTCTCCAAGAAAGAATTTTTCTGTTGCTTCAGAAGCTTTGCTCTGTCATTTTCAGCTTCTTTCAGGCATCTCCTAATATCTGCCCTTGCTGCAGGCTTCCTGCCTGCTGGGTCATGCACCCACACTCCAGACGGCTTTCCCAGCTCAGGGCTCTCTTTCACCCAGAGTTCAGCAGGCCCAGCAAGGCAAACAAGCAACCCAGCCACTGAAAGTGAACAAGGTAGGCACAACATTGTGTGCATGCACCTCTTAGTATCCCCCTGCTTTGCAGAAAACATTTCTTCCAACTTACTTCTCCATAGTCAGTTTATTGCAAAGAAAAATAAATACAGTCAAGGTGACAGGAAGAATTCAAAATTCAATCTGTTATTCAACCCAGCTAGTGCCAGGACATTATGCTTCAGTGCTCCTCTGTTCATTATTCCTTGCTTCGTTACCCAGGTCCCACAGCTGAATATAAACCCAAGGTCATGAAAGGAAGGTGGTGGTGGTGAAGAAGAAACTTTTCTTCTTTGCATAATATGGCTTTATTTTTGTAGTTGCTGAATACTTTTTTCTTCTCCACAGTGACTTGGGAATTATCTTGACTGCAGTTTATGAAATAGTCATTTCAGTGATGAACATCTGAAGTCAATAAGCTATGAGGAATCAAAGAAGGTGGGGTTAATGTTATTTAAAGTAAAAAATCTGTCAGCTTTTAGTTAGTGTATTACTGAAATCATGTGCAACAGGTCATAATGACCCATTAAGATCAAATCAACGATGCTTCAAAACAGAAATGGTCAGGAGATTGCTGTTCCTGCAAGTTAATTTCGAAGAATGTATATTTATGCTGTCCTGTTGTGGGATTTTATTGAAACCTGAGGTAACAAAACACATTATTGGAAAAAAAAGCAAAATTTTACAAAAAAATTTTCTATTCAGACAAAAAGCCCTTTTTTTCCTGGAAAACATTTTGGTAGGAGCTCTTACCATATACATAGAAATGTATTCTGAAAGACTTGAAAATTGGGTTTGGCCATGACATAATTCTAA